AAGATCTCCATTCAGCTTCCTGTAGCTTTGTACAGGCCCCCACATACTTCTGAGAAAAGATACTGCTTAGTTTCCAAAGCCCTGCTACAAGGAGGTGTGTTCTGACAGGCGGGAAAGTTGGGGAACATAGTCAAGAATGGACTATAGAGTTACAGACCACACCCATGCTTCCCCTAGAAGTGCTGCTCAATGGGGCAGCTGGGGGACAGACACCATGGCAGCCACAGGTCTTCACATCAGCTCTGGGTAGATCTGGAAACTCACCACCTAAGGCAAGAGTCTTTTCTGCATCTTTAGATGGTCACACTTGGGCCGCAGAATTACGCTCTCGAAAGGCTTTGCTGCCTATGGTTCCTGACTTTGTAAGCGCTAGCTGAGTCCCTGCTATAGGCCAAGTCTCTGTGCTGCAAGATGGAAGAACACAGGTCCAGTTCACAGCTTCAGGGAGCTAGTAACCTGGAAATTGGAGGCTTCCTCACCAACAAAACCTGGATTCTCTTAATCCCACTTCCTGTCTTTACCGCACACTGTCTTTCCCATAGAAACTCCTAAAGACAAGAAGAAAAACAAACTGGCTTTACATAGGAGAATTTTTACCTGACCACAAATGTCAAGATAGAGTGGTTATAGGACCAGGTGATTCTCGGTCACAAGCAGCAGTCAATGTGTAGTTTAGGATAAGATTGAACATATTTCAGTAGGTGCACTAAAGTTTATTCCTTTGCAAATTATCTTGTCTTGCCCTCCCTTTCTCCCTCTTTTTCTTCCTTTCCTCTCCTCCCTCCTCACCTCTCTGAATATCTGAAGACACAGGAGTCACAAGGTAGGCAAAAGTTTACTCATAAACCAGACACACATCACACACGCTGGGAACCAGCCATGCTACAAAAGGAATGTAGAAAACCGGTTCACATAAAGATTCAAACACGTATGTTAACCACACTTTTGCTGTAAGGAAATGACCAGAAAAACAAGTAAAATCATATGGACCTAAATGCTTTCCATGATGCACGGTCCAGTGTGCCCTGTGTCTACGCACCCCGTGGTTCCTCCACAGTTCTGAAGATTAAATAGGCGGCGTTCAACTTGGTGTATATGCATGTAAACAAGAGGGCTCGGCTTTAAATAATTATGTCAAAGAAATGACAACTGTGCTCTTTGCCAGAACAGGGATGAATAATTACAAAGCTAGGACATAATTAAGCAATTGTGACTGTCGGGATGTTGAGCTGCTTCTCTGATGTGCAGGGCTGGTGTGTCGCCATACGTGCCCTCCTGGACAGGCTTCTGTGTTCCTTTGATCTTCATTTCCCAGTGCAGCAATGGGGGTCACGGTCTGGTCATTCCAGATGCTTTTCACTGGGGGCCCTGAGCTTCTCAGTGGCTACTTCGGTGCTCGCTCTGTTGACAATGGCGCGATTCGATGGCCAATATTTGACAAAGATAGATATTTTCTTTAAAATTCTGGGAAATGAGTAAATCCTAGCTGTCACAGGTCCATTAAATGTTCACACACACACACACACACACACACACACACACACACAGTGTGCCTGTGTGTCTGAAAAAGCCCACTGTATAATATAACTATTATTATTTCTCATAAATGGCAGCATCTTTCTTTCCATAGACCAATTCAAGCACAGAGGAAAGACAGATTTGAATCAGCAAAAGGCAAAGTGCAGTCACAGAGACACTGTGCCATCAGGAGCAAGAGCTGGGAAGAACTTGGCTTCAAGTGTCCAGGCTTGCCAGGCACCAAGTCAGACCTTGGTGACACAGGCAGCCAGCTGGTTCCTGGCTGGCTTTGTGTTTGTGTCAGCTGAGAACACCCAGACTGCCTGTGCCCTACCTCGAAGGCAAGGGCTGTGATTGGAGAGGTGTTTTCCATTCTCCCAAATACTTTATGTCAGGAATAAAATGAAAACAGCTCCCCAAATCATGACCTCCTTGATCATCCATCAGAACCTTGTGCTGAATAAGCACAACAGGCCCCTGCTGCCCCAGAAAGGACAGAAGGCAACTTGAGATTCCGATTCTGTTAGGAAAAATAGGGTCTTCAACAAGCGTGCACGGCACAGCTCCCGCAGTGGGGAAGGCAACTGCTTTCCACTGAGGAGCCGACTGCAGGTGTACACATGCCTCCCAGAACATACATATGTATGTATACAGATATAGGAAGGCCATATATACCTGCACAGGAACAAGCATGTGTCTGTACACATGGCAAGCAGGCAAGAAGCAGCCTTCTGAATGCCAGTTTATTAATTCAGCAAAGAACTCATTTGGCTTTCTTCTATCTGCAGGAAAAATACCGCTGCGTGTCTCAGAAAATAACAGACAAAAGCGAATTGCCTGCCATTCATCAGACATGTGCAATATGAAAACCAGTAATAGCGTGGGATCTTCTTTGAATCTTGGAAGATCATCACATAGCACACTTAACCAGAACCCCCACAACCGCAGGCCTCTTCAGGCCCTTAAGCTTCTGCCACTCTCCCAGAGGGATTTCTGAGGTCCTTTCTAGCTGGGAAAGAGAAGGCAAGATCCCCATGTTGCTTTGGCAAGGGTATTTTTGTGTCTCCCCTGAAATAATTAATGGGCATTTTTAAGTGTAATACAGTTAGTCAGGGCATTAGAGTCAATCACACAAACATGTGCTGATTCTATAATTGATTGGAAGCTAATTGGGAACTCTGAAGAGCACCACCTCTGTTGTCACTAGTGACTCCGACAGCTGGTGGTCGGTTTTAAGGGACCCTTTCCCATCATGCTCAAAGGCAAGAGGGATTCCAGCTCTCCCTATCTTCTCCCCATAGCAAAACAGTTCATCCAGTTCATCCCCACTTGTCTTCCTTCCTCAGCTCTCCTGGAAACTTTTCTGTTTGCCAAAACACCCCTAGGGGTATCTCTCTCTCTCTCTCTCTCTCTCTCTCTCTCTCTCTCTCTCTCTCTTTCTCCCTCCAAGGCTAAAACAGCAGAGTAAGAAGAGGCCAGGCCCCATAAAGGTAAAATTCCAGCTCAGGAATTCATGGCAGTGCCCTTGAGACAACCCCATGCACTGCTCTAAGTCCCCGGTCCTTTCTTCTATGTATGCAGGGTTCTGAGACATGGAACCTTGGGAGAGAGTTGGGCACACACAGAATACAGCATCCCAGTATATGGCCAGCTAGTTAGCACTTCTTCAGATTTCCATCTGAAGTGTTACAGCTTCCAGTCCCAAAGCAAATGAGGAAAAGGTGAATAAGAGATCTGCTCAGTGCAGTGTAGGCATGGAGGTGAGAAAGACAGGAGGGCCAGGATGTGAGCCCAGGAATCGCAAAGACTTCCTCCGCTGCATTGGTGGAGGTTGGTAATGTTGCTGACTCTGACATCCTAAGGAAAGAGGAGAAAAAGAGAAAGGAAAGAAGGGAGAAAGAAAAGAAACCAAGAGATAAATTCTTTCATTTGGACAAAAATGGCAAAAGTTGGAATAACTAAAGGCAGTCATGTGCACTGTGTCAGGCCAATGCTCCAATAAGGAGAACTGTTAACACTTTAATAGCTATGAAATGAATCACTCAATTAATTCTCCACATGCTGAAACAGGTAACAATACATTTATCTGCCAGAATTATACCCTCCATATCATATATTTCCACAACTGTTAGCAATTTCATCCAGCATAACAGGAAATCAGTCGCACCTCATGGATTCAGGGAAAGAAGTGGCCCGAGGTCCGCTGCCAACAGCGCAGCTTGATGGAAGAGCTCTCGTTCCTCTGCTCTGTTTTGGCGCTGTTTGCCTTTGCTTCCCAGCTTAATCACTTCCAATGCATGTACAGAGGGCTATAAGTCACCGGCTGAGGACAAACTAGGCCTTCAGGATTCCTGTGCCAGCATTTTTAACACAGAGCTACAATTTCATGTGCGGTAACTAAGGAGCTGCACTGTGCTTCAGGGTTGTGAAATTTCTAGAAAGGTGTTGTCATCAGGGTCATGGAATCTACTTGCCAGGCACAGACTTCTCAGAAGGGCCCAAATGTCTCTCGGAAAGACTACTGTGAACACCCTTCAAACTTCCTTGTGTCTGGATCCAGGACTCCAAATGAACTCTCCCAATAAACCAGCACCCCAACACACATGTGTGCGCGTGCGCGTGTGCGTGCACGCGCGCGCACACACACACACACACACTGCCAGAAAACACTACCTACTGCGATAAGGGTTCCTCATGGGAGTAGAACACCCTTCATCTCTGGATGAAAGGAAATTACCCCATTTTAGTGGCAAGAAATAAGAACCCCCTACAAAAGACAAGAGGGATTGTAACCACCCCATAAACACAAAATTCCCGGAATATTCTTTGTCAGCTGTAGAACTGCTGAGAAGAAAGCACTGAGGAGGCCTGAAAGCCACCACTAGACTTGACAGAGCTTTACCACATTTCCGCGCATCTCCGTTACCATCACGTTGCTCTGAAAAGATGCCACAGCTAAGGGAACTTAGGGAAGAAACCAATTATTGCAGGCTTAGAGTTTCAGAGGGTGAGTCCATGACAACCATGACAGGGAACATGGCTGCAGTCAGGTAGGCATGGCAGTGGGGCAGCAGCTGAGTGCCTACTTCCTGGTCCATGTAACAGGAAATGGTGTGGGCTTTTGAAACCTCAAAACCTACACCCCCCCAGTCACATATTCTGTAAATAAGGCCACATTTCCTAATCCTTCTCAAACAGTTTTATCACTTGGAGACCAGTATTCAAAGACATAAGTCTATGGGAGTCATTCTTATTTAAATAACCACAGTGTTTAACAAATAATGTCTCCAGATGGAGTGACAGGGAGACCCAAATTCCATCCAGCCAACTGCATGACTGGTCAGCTCGACATCTGTGAGTGAACCCTGGTGTGTGATCACAACTGCATGCGAAACACACAGGAAGACATCATCCATGTGCCTCAGAGCAACCAAGGGAGGAAGATAGGACTCTCACAGGAAACGTGGACAAGAGCAGCTCACCTTGGGCTTCACCACCTTCATGAAGGCCCCTCTCACCAATGCCTCCTCCCGTTCTTGTCTGGTGACTTTCTGGGCATCCAGAAACTTCAAATTAGGCAGCTTGTGCAGAACAAAGCACCTGGGAGAACAAGGCAGAAACAACTCAGAAAGGCAGGAGTGACATCCCCAGGGATGTGGGTAATGTGACAGCCCCAAGGATGTGGGTAATGTGACTGAACATCGCGAGTCCATGCAAGGCTCTAAGGACTTAGATCTTAGCCACTCTTCCTACCTCTCCCCTCAAAACAGATTTTTCTCTTTAGGGGAAATCTGAAGGGTTCTCTATACTGACATACAAACAAACTTCAGTAAAAATTGTGCTTGGCCCAAGCATGGATGCCCAACTCATTAGAACTAGCCTACTAGCAGGACCATGACAATGTATTCCTTTCTTCCATCCTGAGAAATGAGCCCTGCTTCAACATGGAAAGTTCTCAATAAGAGTAACATAACATAAACCTTGGTCAGTTGTACCATATATGCATCTGCCATTAATAGGAGGCATGTGTATCACTCTCATTATTGATATAATTGATCTGCAAATTGGAGCTGAGGCTGGAAGCCAGAATTTCCCAGATAGGACCTTAAATGAGACCTAATAATCTGGGTGGCTAGGGTAGAAGTAGGGCATGCCCGTAGCTGAAAACTGCTTCACTGATGACTCAAGACAGTCTTCAGTACTTTCTGCCATCATTTCTGGGTGATTTCCACTATGCAGTACAGAGATGATCTCTATCAAGGACAAATAGGAAGTAGAGAAATTTTCTAGGGTATCTTAATATCCAGCAAATACAGGGTGGCCTCTGTTCCCTCAGAAAGAACCATTAGTACCCCTTATAGACCACCAAGGATAAGCCAATGGCTATGTGTGTGATGAATTGCTCTCATACGGATGCGTGTAAAGGGTATTGACAAGAAGATGCCCTTGGCCAGGGTATATGTTTATAAATGTATAACATACAGACACTTGTCTCTACTTTCTTGCTTCCCATCAAGACCACACTCTATCTCTATCACATGAGCACTTGCTCAGGTTCTCTTCTGTTTTAGAAGGAAAAGTGAACACCCAATGTCAAGAACAATGGACAATCTCTAAAGAAACCCATCACTTCCTGCACCCACCTTTTAAGAATCCTCTCCTCTTCTAAATCTCAACTCCACTTTTCACCTCTAACCCTCAAAGCTGTCTTCATTCTAACTCTCCTAGAACACACTATTAGCATCCACCCCAACATGCCATCAATTTCTAGATATTTCCTTGTTGTTCAAGTAATGAATATCCTTACCTAAACATCAGCCTTCTCATAGGCTTACCTTCATTATATCTTGGAAACTAATTCAAGAATGCATTCAATAGCCTATCTATTCATTTCTGCAGCACAAACATCTCTTGAATAGCTATTATCTGCTAGGCCCGAGGGGCACAGAAGTGATTATGATACCTCTCTGCTCTCAAAGGAGTTCTTACTATAGTTCTTACCAACTAGAAACCCATAAGGCTAAGTTATGGATGGAGTCATCATGGGAAAACAGAGAACAACCAAAAACTAAAGGAAAAGGGAGGAATATGCCATTTCAAACAGGCTTCAGAAAACCATGTTCAAAAGCAACCCAATTAAAATTTTATTAGTGTAGATATTGCTTGGGCATGCACTGTGCCTCCCTCTCCACTAGAACCTTGGGTTCTGAGAGCCTCCTTCCACATCCATAAGGTAATTTCAAGTCACCAAGTGACCTTTATAAGTTTATTCAGGTAAATGACCTGGCTATCACTCAAAAGCCAGAGACAGCAGTTTAAAGATCCTTCCCCCCCCCCAACCGGGCTCTTAAAATCAAAACACATTAAAATTATTTTTCAATTAACTCTAATTAATTCACTTATGAATTAATTTATTATTTCATGTGAGTGAGCCAGCATCTGGGCACTGGGCATAGGTCAAAAGCCAATATTCCAGAGCCAGTTCTTCCCTTTGACTTTATTGATGTAGGGGCTCTCTTTTGATTTTGCAATGCTTTGTAACTATAGCCTAACTGGCCCAGAGCTTCTGGGCTCCTGTCTTTACCTTGCATCCCGCTATGGGAGTGCCTGGGATTAGAGATGACACCATCACAGGCCCAGGGATGGAACTGAGGTCATCAGGTCATCAGAAACTCCTTTAAGGTCCATTCCAAGACCAGAGGTCCTATAATCAATCTCTCTCTCTCTCTCTCCCCCTCTCCCTCTCTCTCTCTCTCTCTCTCTCTCTCTCTCTCTCTCTCTCTCTCTCTCTCTCTCTCTCTCTCCTCTCTGGCACTGTATCAGATCGTCAAGCTTAAGTGGGTCCCTGAAAATTTTTACAGTTCATCCCAAGATCAGAGGTCCTATAATCTCTCTCTCTCTCTCTCTCTCTCTCTCTCTCTCTCTCTCTCTCTCTGTCTCTCCCTCCCTCCCTCCCTCCTTCCCTCCCTCCCACCTCTCTCTTGCTTTCTCCCTGACTTCAATCTATTACCCCTTTCCTTTTCTCCCAAATCCCCTCCCTAGCCCCTCCCAACACCTCTGATCTCATCCAAAATGAGGCAAAGGGCTCAAATGTTCTTTCTACCCTTAAGCAGAATTCCCATCGGTCTCAGACTGTCAGAGAAAACTTCCATCTCCTGCTTATACTGGCAAAGTCTTAATGACAACAGATTCTTTCAAATAAAGACATGTACAGACAGAAACAATATGTCAGGAGTGACGCTCAAAGGAGTAGAGACACCCACTAAGTGTAGGGTGGGAAAAGATGAATATTCAGGTGAGGACAACATCAGTATTAGAAAATCAGCCGGTGTTTAATGATGGAGTGAAGGATGCCTTCATGGGGCTGCCAGGAACCGCGATGACAACAGACCGCGCATTGTCATTTCGCCTCACTTTGGATCACAGCTCTGAAATCAAAGGAGGAAGACAGAGAGGTGCTGGCTTTTAAGCTAGTTAAAAATTGTAGATGACAAAGAGCTGCTTTTCAGACACTCTTCTGATAGTCGGAGAGACAGCCTATGACACAGTCTGCCAATCACCACTAGGCTTCGCTTCCATCCTGAGGGCCACTGTGAGTTCCCAGAGAGGATGGTTTCCAACCCTTTAGGATCAGGTATGGGCACTGGCGGAATAACAAACCAACATAGGCTACCCATCCTCAATAGATCAATTAAAGAGACAAAATAATAGTGAAAAGGAGAAAAGGGAGATGCACTCAATGCGACCAATAGGGAAAAGGAACAAGGAGGTCCAGCGATCCCCGAGTCCATCTTTGTGGTCCTAAGATGATATTTAGTTTTAAACAGAGAGCCAGAGGTATGCACAGTTAAGAGTCCTGTTCAAGGGAGAGTTCTGCCTTTCTCCTGTGTCTCAGCTCGGGTGGCTCCTGCGGCAGAAACTGATGAGCTGTAACTCTTTTTTTTTTTCAAAGTTTATTAAATTATAAAAGTTTCCATTTCCGCCCCCCTCCCAACACCCTCCCACTCCCCCCACTCCCTCTCCTCCTCCTCTCCATCCCTAAGAGCAGTCAGGGTTTCCCACCCTGTGGGAAGTTCAAGTTCCTCCCCCCTCCCTCCAGGTCCAGGAAGGTGAGCATCCAAACAGACTGGATCCCAAAAAATCCAGTATATGCAGAGGAAACAAGTCCCAGTGTCATTGTCAATGGCTTTTCAGAAAGGCTCCGGGCCAGCCACATTCAGAGAATCCGGCCACATTCAGAGAATCTGGTTGGATCACGTGCTCGTTCAGTCCCAGTCCAACTGGCCTTGGTGAACTCTCATTAGATCCGTCCCCTTGTATTAGTGGGTGATCGCATCCCTCGCAGTCCTGATTTTCTTTTTCATTTTCTTCCTCCTTCTGCTCCTCATTCAGGGAGACAAGTTCCCTCTGGTTGGCACCGGCTTTCCAGGCTTTTCCTTCTTCTAGCATGAGACTCTGAAGGAAATTCCAAATTTCTTGTAACCTACAGGCTGATAGCCAAAGGGAAGGCACAGGTGACTCTTTAGAAGAGTATCTTATCCCAAGGGGCCTGTGAGATGTTGCTCATTTTGAGTCTGGTCCCTGTGCCCACAGCAACAGGAAAGAAATGATTCCTGAGTCATCCCATGACCCCCACATGTGATCTGTGGTAAGCAAGCATCCCCAACATATAACAAACATGCATATATACACACATACACACACTAATAAAAAATGATATATTTTTTTTAAAAATGTAAATGGGGCTAGAGATGTAACTCTGCAGTTAAGGGCACTTTGTGTTCTTCCAGAAGAGCAAGTGAAGTTACTAGAATCCATGGTAGGAGGCTCTAACAACTGTGACTGTAGTTCTAGACGACCTGACACCTTCAGCGCACCTCAGGGGGCACTCATCCACGCTTGGCATATACTCACACATACACAGACTGAAACAAAACTGAAACTTAAACTGAAACTTAACTGAAACAAACTGAAAAACTTAAGCTTTTTGTGTTTTAATGAAGGAGCTAAGCGGGGTGCTGAGAAGGCGAGGAAACACAGAAGGCAACCTCTGCTCTCGCTGTGACCTGCGTTCTAGCATAGCGTTCACATTCTAGCACAGTGGTTCTTGACTTTAGCAGGCATCCTCGTGACCCACAGGCTTGTTAAAGCACAGATGCAGGCCCCAGCCCATGCCCAGAGCTTCTTAGCGAGGTGAGTGAGCTGGATGGAGGCCTGGAATTTATGTTTCTAATAAGTTCCCAAGCGATGCTGCCACTGCTGCCCTCCTGCTGAGAACCAATGTCCTAGAGAAAACAACACCACAAGGGCTCATAGTTGGGAAATTATGAGCGCGATGAGGCAGCCAGGAGTCTCCTTCCCAGTTCAGCGAACAGTCTACCTGTGTTACACAAAGCCCAGCTAACAGTCACATTCCCAAGGTCTTCCTGTCCCCCTCCCATGACTTAAAATAGGCTCCAGCAGTCCCGAGTGATAAGCCGTTGGGGGTCCAGCCTGCCTGTCCTGCGCTGGTCTTAGGAGATCTATTTCCCTTTGTTCTAGGTCGTGTCAGAGTGTCACAAGCTGCAGCTTCAATCCTGAGTATAATACAAGTTTGCCAT